TTTTCAAAATCCTCTTAAGCATTTTCTGTTGTTAAAAGTATGCATTCTCCATATTTTTTTCCTTTTTTTTTTTTTTTTTGTGTAGGTAGTGGCATTCTAAAATACACAACATGATGCAGTCTTATTTTATGGCATTGAGTAAAAAAAGAAAATAGCTTAGCTATTAGGAGATGCCATGTTTGCTCTTTATTGCTTCAACTCATTAAATTAAAGCCATATTTGTTTATAGTTCTACGGAAATAGTTTATATCCCAATTTTTGTAAGTATTTGATAGACTTTTTAATGCATCCCTTTCTTAATTGTCTTCATACAAATTTAATGGAAGCCAAGGTAAGTCTATATTGTTTTCCATTTATGAACAGTCCACCATTTCCCAGTGAGTGTGAATAGTCTAGTTAATTTAGGCCAACTGACAACACATTTGCTTTTTGTATTTACCTTTTGCAGATCCCGTAGATGTAAGCCATGGATCACAGGGTGAAAACTAGTAGTTTACACTGCAGCCAGTTGCCTGTAACAAGTCTGTGGCAAGGCTATGCACAGACTGTGATTAGCACAGTGAATTTGAATTGTCATTTTGCCGATTTGAACTCTTACGAGAAAAACACTGATAATACAAAGAGCATCTAGCCTGTGGTTGATGCAGTACAGGACTGTTTCCCATGGCAGGGCTTTTCAACGTACTGTGGCCTGCTAAACCAGTTTCTACACTGCCTGGTTTCTTGCAGTGATTGACTGCTCTCTAATATTTCACCCATTTAGATTATTACACGAATATTAAAAGTAAACCCACATCATCTTGCCAAATCATATTGATACACCCTTTCAGTTAATGTTGAAAAAAAGGACAATGGGTTTTCCTAAATATGTGAAATAACATAGCTATATCTCTTCTCTCTTTGTGAAGAGAAGGAAGTGTTACCAATATTTACCAGATGGTGCAGTGCATAGATTTCATGTCTGACTTGAGCGAATTTCACTGCAATTTTTCTAAATCAATAAGTGTATTTGCAACATACATCTTTAATACAATTTTACAGTTGTTAAATTTTTCTTAATTATAGGTAAAGAGAGGACGTCAGTTCAATCACTGAAAACATCAAGAGATGCATCACCCTCAGGCTCCACAGCAATACTTTCATCAAAGGTGAATTTTCTTTTGGAGTACTTCTCACCATGGTTTCACATTGCTCATTGTTGGATTTTTTTCCTCAGCTGGAAGGAGATACTGTATGCAGCTGTTAAGGAAAGGAGCATCTTGAATTGCTCTGCCGTTCAGCAGAGGATAGGTTTCCCTTATCTGGCAGGAAGGTGCTGATAATGCTGTGTATCTAATGATGACACTGTCAAACTCTTTTATTCTCTGTTCACTGTCTCATTTTACGAGAAAGGGAGTTTTGCATGTATTTAAAATTGTCATTTTCCAAAGTCCTGAGTGTGCTAGAAAAGGAATGGCAAGGAGAAAAATGGGGAAGGATTTTTTTAGGAGCAATAGATCAATTGGACAAGCCTGTACTTGCACTGAACTCCATCCTTCAATGATTCCTAAGCTGTGACTGGATTTGGAAACAGTGTGGTGAAGTGTCTGACTGACTGGGAAGATAACGTGAATAGCAGAGTTGGCTTGGAAGCAGGGCTGCTCGAGGATGTGGCAAGAATGATAGCATTTACTTGGGAAGGGAGCCACATTGCAAGATAGTTTGGTAAATGCCGTTTTATGTTCTAAATGGTGCTGCTTAATTTCCCATCAAAAAAATCTTGTGGGCTGAGCACCAGCTAGATAATCTCGCTAATTAGTTAAACAGACAGGCTAATGAACACTAACGAACAATCAGCATTCAATATTGTTCTGGCTGTCCTGTGGCAGCAAAAACATTTTCACTTCACAGACTGCTTGCCTGTAAATTATATTTGAGGTTAAAATGAACACTTCCACAGGAGTATTTTCTCTAAATTGTTGAGAAATACTTTAACGAGAAATAAACAATGCATCATATTGTTCTAAGTGAATAAGGACTTATTAAAAAGTAGTGTTTGCCCAAAGTATCAAGGTGTACTAGCCTGGTTCTTGAGGTCTTTTTAATAAAAGCCGTGGAATGCTTAAACAAAAAAAAAAATTGGAAGAAAGGTACTTTTTGTTGTGAGAAGGTGAGACTGAAGGAAATAATTGGGTGGGGAAAAAATCAGGCTTTGGTTGTGCTATGTCATTCTAAGTACTTATCCCTTATGCAGCTCTTTTAGAACCGCTGTGCTAGGCATTAGCTAATTGCCAATGTCCTTAAGGGGGGAGGCAAGCGATATAAATAAGTAAGATAAAAGCTGTTACACACAAGTTACACTGACTTGGATTATAAAATAAACTTTATAATTAGTTCACCTATTTTGCTTACAGACTCAGCATACTACAGCTTAATACTAAATCCTTGCTTAATATAAACCTTTGAGAACAAGGAGGCATTGCAAAATCTCTTGCTCTTGTACTAATATGCAGCGTGAGCTTGAACTATAAAGTATTCTTTCAGTGTTTTGCTTTCTTCTTCAGTCAGGTCTGATCTATGCTGTATTAGTTTTTTTGCCAGCAGTTTGCATATATCTGCTGGCAGTGGATATCCGCTTGATGTTAAGCTACACAAAATTAAACTTTCTGTTTGATGGAAATCATTTCCCCAGACAAAACAAATATTTATTGGGTATGCATCAGCTGCAGAAATGGAAGTACTTCAGTGACCTTTTATTGCTTTTCTCTTGAAGTCCCAAAATCTGCTTGTAATGTCCTGTCTTGTGTCAGTGGAGCCTCTTGGGGTGGTGGCTGGATTACACTGACCAGTTAAGTGATATAAGCGCTTCACTGACATAGGAATATTGACAGAAAAAGTCTTGGCAAAACATGATGAATGTCTTTAGGGCCAGGGTCTTACAATCTACTTAGACTTGAGAAATGAGTTATATACTTTATTTTATAGATTAAAGGAGAAAATTTTCAATGCTCTAACTTATAATTTAGCTTTGAAATACTTACAAAGGTATATGCTTCCGCAGCAATATCTCTTTTCACTGTAGTAACTATATGCAAATCTGAAAAGGTATTCTTCTCTGTCTTATAACTAATTTTTTACATATTCATGCATGTGAATTAATACATGTTGGTGTTATCTGATACTAACCACCTGTTTAATTGACTATGGCATGAAATCTTTTGTGTTTCTCTTTAATAGCTGTCTGGACTGCAAGCCTTGGAGGCTGTATCCAACATAATTAGAGCAAAAGGCACATGTGTGAGACAGGGAAAGCTTCCCAGCAAAGATAGCAGAGAACTGACAGGTTTTTGCTGTTCTTATGTTATGCATAAGGTAAAAAAAGAAAAAAAAGACACCTCTGTTTTGAGGCAGGGGGGGAAGTTTGGTTGGTTTTTATGAGACATACTAGGTGGTTCATTTCTTGCAAGTTTGCAGCCTAAGTAAATGTTTCTGTTCTTCAGTTGTAGTGTATCTGTGGAAATACCATTACTTTATTACATAAAATGCACTCAGGATTTTTTAATACATATTTATTGACATGCGACCTATACAATTAAATTTAGTGAGGTTAAATTAAACAGATTCTTTTTACTATATTGCAGTAGACAGTAGAGTGGCTAGTTTCTGTTTATGGCTTGCGGAAATATTTTAAGTCATGTGAGATTTTATTTATCTTAATTTCATGCAAAGCTGACTGTTGGTGACAGAGGTACCGGTCTTTTCTTTTGTTAGTATTGGCCAGAGCTACATTTGAGGAAAGGGAGAGATTCATAATAGTACCACAGTACAAGATTTTTTGGCCGCTAGGGAAAAGTCAGGCTTACTGTGGGGAATAAGAACATGGGGGAAAAAACTTGGCAGCAGATAGTTTGTAGTGAGACTAGTGTAAGAATTATTGTGTAGTTTCGAAAGGTGAGCTGGGCTAATTATTCTATGAATTATATTACCCCTTTCTTATAAGAACCCTTTTCATACCCCTGCATACTGAACTTTGTCACCTCCTGACTTTGGTTATAATTCTGTAATTTACAATTATAGAAAAGAGGGATTCCTATTTGAACATTGTGTTGCACATCTCTTCTGGATTCAGATAAAGGTAGTGTCTTTATGACACAGGATCCTGGAAGGATTCTGTGAATTGTATACTTATGCCATACTACAGCACAAAGAGATGTTTGGGTAATATTTTATTTGAGGTAAGCACAAAAGGTCTGAAGATGAAGCAGTCTTATTATAGGACACAGTATTTGCTCCCTCTGGCCATTTATGTAGTTTGGAATGAACTAATGATGGAGGGGGGTGTGTTGGGTTTTTTGTTTGATTTTTTTTTTTTTTTTTTTGGCCATCTGTTTGCTAAGATGGACCAGGCTTTGGGTAGAAATTGTGACAACCTTTTTCAGGCAATAGGATTTTTGTATCTTTTTTAGATACCCACCTTAGTGTTGCAGTTTTTAATACTAGAGTTGTATAGATTCTTGGATGGATGCTTCTATACATACAGTTGATTCAATGAAATACCCACATAGTGGTAACAAGATTTATAAAGCTAGCTATTCCTAAAATGGTTTTGGTAAGTGGGTATTCATCATTTTCTGTTTGTTGCTCTGTTAGTAAAAGCCAAATCGTATTCTTAGAGAGAAGGGAATTTTTAAATATTATTTATATAAGTATTTCCTTCTAAAACAGTAGATTAAAAGGCCATAAAGCCATGAATGACTCTTATAAATGATCAACGTTCCCCCCAAATAAAAAATAATGAATTTTAATGGAAGCAGCTCTGATATTTTAAAGTACATATAAAATACTTTTTGTCCCTAATTAGCTTAGGTTTTATACCCTACACAGTATTTAATAGTTTAGTTTAAATTTGTTACAACCTTGTGTGCCTGAAAATCACATTGAATTATTAGATCACTCCACAGTTGTATCTCACTTCTTAGTGCCCATTTGATCCATGTCTCTTTCAACTCAACTGGTCTCAAATAATTTTTCTGTTATCTCTGTCCCGTGAATTTAATAAAACTGATTCTGAAATTATGATGCTTTTTTTTAACAATTTACTGAACTTAATTGATTTATCTTTTTTCTCCTCTCTCTTTTTTTTTTTTTCTCTGCTCTCTCCCCACCCACTTTTCTTTTTAAAGAAATCACTCAGGAAATGAAATAGCTTCAGCTTCCTTATTTCCTATTTTAAAATGTTTTTGGATCTGAATAACTGCTTATTTTAGTTTTGAAGATGTTTTGCCATGTGTAAATATATTTCATGTTAAACCTTGACTATAATGTTTTTGTACAGGCCTTGGATAAGAGCAACAGACTATCGGAAAAGGAACTTGCAGAAGCTGCAAGCAAGTGGGCAGCTGAAAAATCAGAGAAAGCCGATGAAAGCAATTTACCTGAAATAACAGAGTATGATGTAAGACAGGAGTATTAATCGATTTTAAAGTGTTACAACAATAGACTCTTGTTTTTCTGTACTCTCCTGAAAGGCACACTTTGTAACTTACCCCTGAATTCCTCTGCTTATGCTATTAAATGTTTGTTGAAAGGGAGCAAGAGGGAGCCTAAAGCCTTGTGATTGATTGATTGATTTATTTTAAAAAATACACAAAACCAGAGTAGGTTTTGTTAGTATAATTTGAATTCATGTTGAGCTACAACTGACAAAATAAGGCTCTAGCTCTCCCAGGGATTCTCCAAGGAACTCTTGCACTAGTGTAAGTATGTATGTCTACTGAACTCATTAAAATTAGCAAGGGACTTCTGAGTCAAAATACGAGTGTACATGTAAAACATAAGACTAGAAGAGAAACTGGTTTATTGAGTTCAGTTCCATGCCAAGTCAGTCTGCCATGTCATATATTCCTTTTCAGAAAGCAGTCGTCCTCTATATTAAAAATTCAGCTTTTGCCTTGGTACTGCAGTGGGTAGGTATTTTTCCCCCAGAAGCTTTATTTCATTAATAATCAACATTAATTAATGGACAGTCTATACTCATCTGTTCTTGCCCCTCCTTGTCTTCTATCCCTTGCTATACTGAAGTGTGATTATAGCCCTTTCCAGTCTTTGTTTTGTTATGCTGCTCTTGGATAGGATGTCTTTTTTGGATTCTGCTACGTTAGTGGAAGATGTATTTGTCATTTAAAACAAACCAAATGTCACACATTGTCTTTTTGTAAAATAGTATGTTTTAATTCTGTGATCATTTCATCTTCAACTATCACTTTGCTTCAACTTTAGAGGCACTCTTACAAAAACAGAATAGTGCCTACTTTACAAAGTCAAGTGTCTTAAACTTTATGATTAATGGGTTTGTATTTTATATTTGTTTGTAAATAATTTGAGGGAAAATAAAAGCATCTTGGGAAGCATCATATTTCCTCCTTGTATTTCACACTTGTGGATCCTAAGGGCTAGATTAGAGAAATAAACTCACTGGATCTGTATTTATTTGAACTTTTAAAGTCCTGTCCTTGATGTAACGGTTGAGTGCATCAACAGCTTCTTGATACTGGACAGGAGGATCCAGTTAGATGAATAAACTGTTCGTTTCCCTCCAGGAAAAAGAAATTTAAAAAAAAAGGGAGGGGGGAGGACAGGGTTAGAGTGAGGAAAAAGAAGCAGCAAACTGATCCAAGCATGAATACCATATGGAGGAGAACATATGTATGGACATTTCTGAGAGGTTGAGGAGAGTAACAGTGAAGAGAAGTGTCACTCCTGTTCTTGATGAAGGAAAGGTAATGCAAGTGGGCCATATGGAGAAGAGTTGTTTAAAGCTTTCTCTGTACCTCAGAGAAAATTGCAGTGGCAAAAAGATTCAAAATGAAGACAGACTCAAAATGAAACAATTGCAGTTGACTATGGCAGAGTCTGAGATGATTTATTGACTAAGAAAGTGTGCTGCAGGAATGTTAATGAAGGAGGTGAGGCATCTCATTCTGAGTCCTAGAAGAAAGGATACTTCTCATACCTGATACGTCTTAAGATTCTACACCTCTTTATTTTTGATAGTAGAAAATATTTTTATGCATCATCTTCAATTCTTAAATCTTATTTAAAAAAAATCACTACATTTTACAAATCTGTTCTATAATATTGGCTACAAATATGTTGTAGTAATTTCTTCTCTTTTTACATCTTCTATATAAACTCCTCGGAGTGGGAGTCTGTTTTCTTTGGAGCAGGGATACTGTCTTAATTTCTGTTTTAGAGGGAAGCTTATACAATTTTGGTACTTCAGGAAGATTTCTCATATCAGGAATCCTCTAAGCTCATGTTAGGTTTTGCTGTATTGTAGGTATCTCTGTTCCTTTAATATTAATCCTGAATGCTGCAAGAGTTCTTTCTGACAGCATTTTGATTTTGTCAATGGCTGTTTACCTTGGACTTTGTTACTTTTATCCTTTCCCAGAAAACTAATCCCGCTTTCATTGTGGATTTTTCTTGCTAGCTTGTGTTACAAGTATCACATAAAGTTCCTTCCTAGCGGAAGGGCAGGTAAATGTTACCTGACATCATTGTCTTACTGAGTCACAGGGTTTTTATGTTGTCATGTTTTCTACATGTTTAAAATCCATATTTCTCTATCTGTTAGATTGTAGCAATAATACTTCATTAACAGCCTTGATAAGCAAACTCATACCTAACTGAATGACTGTATTTGGGTTTTTATTTTTCTCTCACACTTTGAGGTTTTTATATTGTTCTCAAAACGCTGAATTTTTTGGTTTTTTAAGGCTGGATCTTCAGCTCCATTATACGCCGAACAAACAGAGGAAACAGAAACAAATATAACGGATAGTACGGAATTATATGAGGATGGCCAGCTTCTTGGCCGCTCAAAAGCCATTGCAACTAAGACAAAGGAGATTGAACAGGTGAGTCCTCCTGGCATTTTGTCACTGATACGGTACCTGTGTAATGGTTTGATCTGCTAGAAATACGTTGATTTATTTTTGCCTCATTCTTGGAGTGTAATATGAATGTAATCTGATTTCTTGAGATGATATGATAACATCTCCATCTATTTAATTCTGAAGAAGCATGGCATTTATCTGCACATGGGAATTAGTGGTAGTTTCTGTAACTTGCATGCAACACCTGCTGTTTTGCAAGCCAAGAAAACGACTGCTTCTTTGAATAGTTATTTTAAAATCAAATACAATACAGATAATTTCAAATGTAAATAAAAAGTAAGGCTTTGTGTGAGATCAAATTATCAAAAATTACTTTTACACTGTAATTTCCCTAAATATGTACAGTTTAGTATTGAATAGTAGAAGCTTCCTGTTGGGTTTTGTTGTTGTTGTTGTGTTGTAGTTTTTTGCCAGGTTTTTGTTTTGTTGGGTTTTTGTGTTTGTCTTTTTTTAAAATCAGCTTTGAATCTCGGTGCCTTTGTCATTCTCTGAAGATTAGGAGCCTTTAAGTTTTGCTTTGACTACAGTGTTTTATATTTGGATGAGGGAGCGATATTGTGTTCAAAATTTGTATTCTTTTCTCTTTTGTGTTGAGTACTGGGGGATTGATTTAATACAAAACAAGATTTCTATTACTCCTCTTGTAACATTGAATTTTTGAGGAGGTTCCATGGAAGTTTATTCATGTGTTAGTCTTTAAGATCATGTTACCTCGCAGTAAGGAAATTATCTGCAATAACCTTCAATTTCGTTTGTCATAAACAATCAAAGAGTTTTATTTCCATATTTTTGTTACTTTAAATGGGGAGTTTGGAGATTTTTCTGACTTGATCTTTCTGACGTAAATGCAACTAGGCCCAACTCTGGAAATTGCATTTAAAGTTTATAATGTGGGCGGGAGAGAGAGATGACTTTTCATCAAACTTGCTCTGATTTACAGTGTTTTCAGTGTATGCCTGGGATGTGTGGAAGGGAAATATAGATCACTTTTCCTTCTCATGATTGCCTCATAATAACATGTTCAAGAAAATAGGTCTCTGGTCTTGTTCAAGATAAGCTTATGCTAGGTCTTCATTTTCCATCTTAATTCTAGCGGCCTTTGTTCTGTTGCCTGTGGGCCCATTTCCTGTACTGCAACACTGTTATTCCCTTTTTCTTGACACTTGAAAAACAACTTTCTTTTCAATTGTTCTTGTTTCTTTTTCTGGTTGGTTTGGGTTTTTTTTTTTTTTTTTTAAATGTTGACTTTGCATAACCATGTTCCTAGTGAGCATGGCTTTGCATGTGTGCTGGGCCTGGCTGGGATGGAGTTAACCAGAGCATGTTGTAACTATGAGGGTCATGATACGGTTTGTTTATCCCTGTGTGTCTGATCACCAGGTCGTACATGGCCTAAATAAGCTACTATCGAATGCATAAACTTCTGACTATTTAAAAATGACAAACTGGGGGGAAAAAAAAAAAAAAAAGACTAGGAGCAGATTTTTTTAAAAATAGCAATTGTGATTATTTAGCCTGATGCTGGTGAATCTGTGATTGGTTTCTTTCCCATAAAGATCTACCCCTCTGTCCTAAGGACAGGCTTATAGTGAAGACAGATGAAAATTTGGGCATAAAAAACAAATGTTGTTTTCAGTATGATCTAACATTATGTTTGGAAGAGTTTGCACTTATCTCTAAGGAAATCTGGATTATGTTCTGTAAAACAGAATACTTTTGGGAACTTAGCTCAGAGAAGCCTGAGGAATAACTTAAAAAGATTTGGATTTCATAGAACCAGTTTCTCCTGTTGTTTATTTAAATATTGAAGCTCTCAGCTTCTGCAGAATTAAAATTTAGAATGATATTGGAAGCATCTTCAGTACATTTTATTCAGCTGAACAAGATTTGTATTTTTTTTTATAAAATCAGGTACTGTGAATTTGTTGAGCTAGACAAGATATGTATTTAATCATTTCAACTTAAGATTGTAAAATGACCTATGTGTTTTTCAGATAAATGTTTAAAAGTAACTCCTGCTTCAGCAATAAAAAAAAAAAAAATCCAGAAAATTTATTGTTATGATAGTCCTGATGATTTTCATATTTGTGTAATACTGTGAATCTTCCTACTGTATATGGAAGCAGTCTCTCTGTAGACATTTGTACACTATTCCATTGACTTCGAGTTGTCAGCATCTAACAGTAAATTTGGTTTAATTCTGTGTGGCTTGAGTTCTCTGCCTTTGACAAGGAATGAGAGAGGGAGCAAAGAGTGGAACGGAAACTAAATTTGCAGTCCTGTGGTGAAAGGTTCTTTGGATGAACTTCTTAATTTATACTGGTTTTACTACTGTTTAACTGAAAGTATATTTCTGGGTTTTGCACAGTAAAATTAGTCCTTAACATGCAAATTTAATACTATCACTAGTCATGCTGTATTGTTTATGTAGATGTAACATTTAAATCTTAAAAGTGAACTGTAGGATATAATACACTTTAGGAATAGGAAGACTGACTTGATAATGAAGTACAGAATACATTTATAGGAAAGCTTTTATACAATTTCTTTCTGATTATGTCTTGAAGACTCAAATAACAGCAGAAAAGTTTTTCTTCTGCAGACTTTTTTTCCACTTCAGGTGTTTAAAATAGTTTCTGAATACCTAGTTTTAATGCATTATTTCTGAGATGTAATTTTGTGGAAGCATTACTAAAATAAAATACTTATGGCAAAGAGTTATGCTGCAACAATGGTGAAGCTGTAATCCTTCTGCAAAGCAAGATTCCTGAAAGACTGGTTTTCAGTCTTCACGGGACAGCTGTGAAATATTGAAGTATATTGAAGTATTAAAATTGAAGTATTTAAAAAAAAAAAAAAATAGACAGGGTAGAAATAACTTCTTGTGCCACTGGGTATGTGTCTGAGAATTGGTGAGGGTCCAGCTAGTGTTTGAGAAAGTGAGGCTTGATTAGAAGTCTTGACCCATCAGACCTCTTCTGCTTCTGTCTCTCAAGTTTTCCAGGTTTCTCTTGGAGCACCAGATGTAGTGATGTTCACTTTTCAGTCATATTTATTCTCATCCTGATTCCCAGATATTCTTGCTGTTCCAAATTCCTGATAAAGCCCTATTTGCTTTGTCCTCTCCATATCCATTTGTCTCCAAAGCTCCAACCAGGAAAAAGAGCAAAATTTTCCAAATATGTACTTCATAGTATGGTACTATTTCAGGTAAACCCAGAGGCAAAGAACTGTGCTGACAGAACATGTACAGTGTGTCGCAATGAGCAAATTCATTTCTGTACAGCAGAGAAACAGGCAGCCTGATGCCCTGGGCAGGAGAGGGGGGGTGGCAACTTGTGATATAGTCTGTTATTTCTCTTTAAGAAAAAAAAAAAAAACAACAAAAAAATCTTTTAAGCAGTTGAATGAAATATTCATACATATGTTCTGTTTAAATAAGTCCATCTCTGTATCTTATGTATTGCTCATATCACTCTTTTGTAAAGTTCCCTCTACCTTTCCTCTAAGTTACAATAACACAGTTGCCAAATTCAGAATTTTAAATGGAAGATGGTTGTAAATGGTCACTCTGGCTCATCAACAAAATATTTGTATATTATTTGTTTGATGGGGGACTTACTGCAAGCATTCATGTAAAATCATGTAATTTGAAGAAAAATAAAGTTCTTTGTGTGCTGACTATGACAGGGCAAAAACTGTCAAACAAGTGCTAGTTGCTGTTTGCAATATAGTGACTATCTTTTAAGAGTTTGCAGTTGCTTTCCAAATATTAACTGAAGCTGACATAAAGAGAGGAGAATAGAAGTTATGCTCGTGGATAAAGGCTCAGAAGAATCTGGACATTGTTTGAACAAAGCCAAGAATTATCTGTGTGACTCCAAACTAGAAAAACTCCAAAGCGTATGTTTGGTTTGAAGTCTGCCAATGTTACTTGGGAAGGAAGAACATGGTTGAAGATGTACAGGCACTTGAGAATATTGCTGAACC